TGAATTATGTGGTCATCCTACTGATAAACAACAGGATGACACCAAATAAGAAAGAGGACTTAAATCCCCAGTATCTTTGACTTATAGAACAGAAAAGAGGTACAAAATCCCTCCAAAATTGTTCTGCAGTTTTCAGCTTAAGTTGTGTAATGGAAAATCATTCTGTATTTTCCTCCATTAGGTGGTGTGATGGAAAGTATTTGAGCTGGAAAATATTCCCCAAGATCTTCAAATTAGGGCCACCCCCACTGGACCAGTAGCTGTCTAAGGTTGTCACACATGAAATGCCAAGTAGTTCCCAATTCCAGGGTCACTGAGTCTGAAGTTATAATGAGACTTTATTTAAAAAAAATTTTTTTTTAGTTGTAGATAGACACAATACCTTTACTTTGTTTGTTTATGTGGTGCTGAGGATAGAACCCAGTGCTAGGCAAGCTCTAGCTCACACATGCTAGGCAAGCGCTCTACCACTGAACTACAACCCCAGGCTTGAGACTTTATTTTTATTATCAAGTTCTACCACCTTTTTCTATAAATAGAGGAACTGACATCCAGAGAGAGGAGAATGGGGAGGAGGGGAGATCATATAACAGATCATTGGGTCTTGCTCTTTCTTCTGCAGGAGACTGACTCCATGTGTCTGGCTGTTTACATGCAGAAAGGGGAGAAGAGGGGAGCAATCCCTGGCTCTCAGTACTTCCCCTCCCTGTCCTGTGTCCCTCCAGTTAGCCAAGAGAACACCTGCAGATCCCCCTGCAAAGGAGAACAGAGCATGAGATCTGGAGCAGGTGGAGGGGTTGAGGGCTCTTGGGGTAACTATCTGGAAAACATGGGCAGACACACAGCCCCACCCACCCAAGGAGACAGAGAGAGTCTAGGAGAGGTTTTGCTGAGAGCCACAGGCCATCGGGGAGCTGTGGGACCCTTAGTTGACGCCTTGTGTTCAGTGTTGGATCAGACAGTGTAATGTTGTACCTGGGCCCATGGGACCCAGACCCCCTCATTCCTGTGATGGACCCTGTCCTGTTATCATCAGCTCCAGGTGAGGATTTGGGTTTTGGGAAGTACTTGATGTAGGTTCTTCTTTTCTAAGTCTATGTGAGCCTGCAACCTTGGCCATTCTGCCTCTTGTTTCCCCTCCCAGGGTGCAACACAGGTCAGTAGAAGCAAACTCTACAGGCACTGAGTGAAATGGTGAAATTAAGAAATCGACTTCTGGCTGGGTGTGGTGGTGCATGCTTGTAATCCCAGCAACTCAGGGGCTGAGGCAGGAGGATTACAAGTTTGAGGCCAGGCTTGGCAACTTAGTAAGGCCCCAAGCAACGTAGAGAGAAGGGCTGGGAATGTAGCTCAGTGGTAAAGCATCCCTAGGTTCAATTCCCAGTACAAGACAGAAAGAAAGAAAGAAAGAAAATAGACTTTTTTTTGAATTTCAGATCACTCAGCTATAAAATGAGAGAAATAAAATATGCCTTGCAGGGTTTTAGTAAGGGACAAAGGAAAGAATAAAGTCTGATAATAGGGTGTCTGTACAAATGATTGATAGGTATATCTGTTATAATTATTGTTATTGCTGCTATTATTATTATTATTATCTCTAGTCTGCATGTTCTTATTTAATCTTATCATCATGAACCTAGTCAACCAGGCAAAAAAACATGGTGATCACCCTTGACTTTTCCCTTACCATGCACAGATGATTCATAATGAAATCTTACCAATTTTGATTACTAAACCTTTTTAAAAATCTGGACCTTTTTTTGTTTGGTTTGGTTTGGTTTTGTAATCACCCTTGGATCAGGCCATCATCCTTCCTGACCACGGGCCCAGACCCCAGTGGTGTCTCTGTTGCTGTTATAGCTTGGATCTTGACTATCTCCCAAAGGCCCTGTGTTGAGGTGTGGTTTCCAGCCTGCACACAAATGGGAGGTGGTGGAACCTTTAAGAGGTGGGCCCAATAGAAGAAAGTTAGGACACTGGAGGTGTGCCCTTAAAGGGGACACGGGGATCCCAGCCCCTTCCTGTTCCTCTCTTTGCTTCCTGGCTGCCATGAGGTGAAGAGTTTCTTCCGCCACATGCTCCCGCCATGATGCACTGCCTTACCACAGGCCTAGAGACAAAGAGCCAACTGACTATGGACTGAAACCTCTGAAATCATGAACCAATGGGAACCTTTCCATGATAAGTTGATTTTATCAGGTGTTTTGTGGTGATGACAGAAAGCCAACACAACTGCCCATCCTCTCTTATATTCCCCCCCTTTACTGAGCTGCCAGAGACCTATAAAAAAAAAGAAGATCTGACTATATCCCTTTGATTAAATCCATTAATGATTCCCCTGTGACTACCAGGTCTAGATTATGCTTTTTCCAGCTACATCTCCACCAGTCTCTTAATTCCAGCACAATGAATGGCTTATATTCTGGTCTAATTTCCATACAGTTTCTCCCCACCTATTCCACACACACCAAGGCTCACTGTTTCTTGTCTTTCTATCTTTGCTTATGCTATTTTCCCCCCCTTGAACACATGCCTCCCCCATTTTGTCATAGGTTCTCAGTCATCGCTCCATTTTGGAAGACTTCTCTGGGCCCTGTAATATTCTAAGCCTATCAATTATCACCCTATAATGTTGTCTTATGATCAATCTACCTCCGAGCTGGACTGTAAGATTCTAGGGGCAGGGACCAGTTCTTATTCATGTTGGTGGCTCCAGTGCCATCCATGTCCTACGTACACAGGGCTTAATGCATGTTTACTCAATCAATGAATGAAGTGACTCCAAACTTAGCATGTGGTAAAGAGCTTGGGGAAAGGTAACTCATTTCCAATGAATGGAAAATATAGACACACTTTTTGGACATATGAAATTGAACAAAGCATGCTTCTCTGACATCTTCAGAATGAAGGATGGCAAAGAGGGTTGGGAAAAGCACTGAGGAGGATAAAAAGCTTCCAGGAACCCAAAGCTAGGGGTAGCTCCCTCTCAGCTCACATTACTGAGTTTGACCTAGGTAAGGCCCCAGCATCTGACAGGATATGGACATTGGCACAGATGGCACATTTTGCTGCAGAGCAGAGTCCCTCATCCTTCTGGGGGTTCATTCTTGATGGAATGTCTGTCGTCACAATTTCTTAGCCTCTGGAAATACAGGGGGAACTACTGTTTCCACAGTGCATAATCAAACTTAAGGAACTCATGACCCTGGAAAAGCGGCATGAGCAGAAAACATGGAAGCATCAAAAGTTATTCCAGACAAAATGTGACAGAGCAATAAAGAAAAGCTGGAGCCAGGTATGGTGGCACACACCTGTAATCCCAGTGACTTGAGAGGCTGAGGCAGGAGGATCACTAGTTTAAAGTGCCTTAGAGAGGCCCTGAACAACTTAGCAAGACCCTGTCTCAAAATTTAAAAACAATGTTTTAGTCGTTTTTTTGTTTGTTTGTTTTGTTTTTTCACTGCTGTGACTAAATAATCTTACTGGAACAACTGTAAGGGGGAAAAGTTTATTTGAGGGCTCACAGTTTCAGATGTCTTCTTTTGAAGGCCAGCTCCATTCCTTGGGGCTTGAGGTGAGGCTGAACATCATGGCCAGAGAGTGTGGCAGAGGGAAGCAGCTCACATCAGGAAGCAGAGCAGGAGACTCCACTCTCCAGATATAAATATATACACCAAAGCCTCGCCCCAATTCCCACCTCCGTTAGCCACACTCTACCACCTTAGTTAATCCCATCTGCATTGTCTCACATGTGAGCTTTAGGGGGACACCATATCTAAAACATAACAAATAATAATAATAAAAGGGTTGGGGATGTGGCTTACTGGTTTAGTGCCCCTGGGTTCAATCCCCAGTACCTAATCATCATCATCATCATCATCATCATCATCAAAAGAAAGAGGAAAAGAAAAGCTGGTTACAGCTACTCTTTGAGGCTGAGTACTGCACATTCCACTGGACAGCTGTCCATAGAGAAACACCACTGGGAGCATGTCTGGTTCTGAGCCAAGTGACAATTTCTAAGCTCCTATGAAAAACACTACAGAGAAAAAAAATTCCTTTGATTCATGGTAGAGAAAGAGACAGGAGAGGGTGGGATTAGAATCCAGATCTTTGTAACTATACTTAAGGACAGTGTTCTTTGTACTTCTGCACATGGGATAAGGAGCTCATGGCAGCCTACATCCTGGGACTGCTGTCTTGGTCTTCTGAGCCCTTAAATGATGTAGGTACTAGATGTGTTGTAAACAGACAAGCCTACTACTACCTGTCAGACAGCTGGTGGGAAGTGGGAGTGAATCTCTGGGAGGAGCTAAGTTTGGACAGGTCTGGCAGGTTCCATCTTGAGACCCACTGAGAATGTCTAGATTGCGGTTGGTTGGCATCTCTAAAGCACCCATTTCAGAGCCAGCCCACCTCAGTGGGATGTTCTACCTTGACTTTTCTCCAGGTACTTGGTGCCTTTCTTCAGTCTGAAAGTTCTCAGACTTCCAGGGAGATTTGTAAGTTTGGGCTCACAACTCTAGGGTCTCCCACACTTTCTTTTGTCTGTTTTGAACATCTTCTGCTTCCTATTGTGTCCTCAGTTAACCTTTCATGGTTTGGATTTCTTGCATTTCCCTTCTTCAGCAATTCTGGGGGCTTGGTCCAAGCCGTGTGGATTGCTGGCTCAGAGCCTCTGAGCTTTCTGCAGCACCCAGCCCTGGAGAATATTAGCTACCAACAGTGATCTGCTTTTCACCACCCCTCTGATGTTTTAAGACTGCAGTCTGCACACGCAGTTTTTATTTGTGTACTTTTCTCAAAGCTCTTAGCTGTTGGGAGGCATTACTCATAATTCAATTTGGTGAAAATCTATCTGGATACCCAAGTTTGAGTTAAATATACCAAGGATTTGTATCTGCCTCCCTCACTCCCCTAATTGTAAGAGGGAGTAGGGAGCATAGCATTTGGAATCTGAAAATCAAGTATTCAGCAAAACACTGGGGAGGGAGGCTCACCAATATGTGCAGCCAGCCAACTTGACATGACGAAGCGTTGCTACAACCTGCTGGCTGCAAATGATAAATTTAACCTTAAAGATGACTTGACGTTCCAAAGCTGGGAAGCAAGCTGATTTCTCTGAAAAGACAGAAAGAGGCAATATCTGGGTAGAGCAGGTATTGTTTGCAAAAAGGATTCCTCCCTCTAAGAAGGAGTGAGCAGCCACTTTGTCTATAGGATCTGGAGAACTAATTCCTAAAACTCTCTCCTATACCTCTACCCCTGCCTGTCCCACCCCTACAAACAAAGAACTGTCATTACAATTCTGAGCTCTTCACCTTCTCCGCATCTGCACTGACATATGGTTGAACCCAAGCAAAGACTGGTGGTCAGAGCACTCTTTTATTTTTTTACAGTCTATTTTTACACACACACACAACACATTTCTTTTTCTTTTTAATCTCTGTTTTTTATTTCTTTTTTTATGTGGTGCTGAGGATCGAACTCAGTGCCTCACACATGCAAGACAAGCACTCAACCACTGAGCCACAACCCCATCCCAGAGCACTCATTTTTGATGTGACACCCAACCCCCCATCCTCAGTATCACACTCACCAGGGAAATAGGATTTCATGGTTAGGAACTGTTGGTTTTCTCTGTAACACCCAAGAGAATGGAAGAGAGCTGGTGTATTCAATAGCTGGGATTTCTTTAGGGGGATTTCTTTCTTCTCTGATTTGCATCTTTATCATTCAAGAGAAGAAAGCAGAATCCTGTCTGGTATGTGAGATGAAAAAAAAAGGATTTGAAGTTTGAAGAAACTTACCAGATGCCAACAATCTGTGCCTTCATGGGGGATCCTTTGGTCTGATAATATTTTATCCTAGGCCTACCTTTTGAAAGATCTGGAAGAAGCCAGTTGTAGGTGGTTTTATACCAATAGGCTGGGTATACACACCAGGAAGTTCTTGCAGATGCTAACAAAGGTTTCTCACACTGAAATTATTACCATGCTTGGCCTGCTAAATGCAGAGACTAAGCAGTGTCAGTGTGTCTTCAGATTATTGTTATTGAATAACATTGCCTTCTTTGGCTTTGCAAGTAAACCACTGCTTGGTAGAGTTTAGATCTTAAGTGTCCCCAAAGGCCCATGTGCTAAAGGCTGGATCCCCAGCCTGTGGTGGGGATCCAGCTGGTGGAACCTTTAGGAGGTGGGGCCTAGTGGAAGGAAGTTAGGTCTTGGGGGTGTGCCCTTGAAGGGATAGTGGGACACCAGCCCCTTTCTGTCTCTTTCTTTACTTTCTACCACCACGAGGTGAGCAGCTTTGCTCCACCATGTATTCCCACCACTGTGTACTGTGATGCAACAGGGCTAAGTGATCATGGATTGAGACCTCCCAAATCAAGAGCCAAAATAAACATTTCCTCTTTTAGGGTGATTTATCTCAGGTATTTTGTTACAGCAATAGAAACTTAACTGAGCTTTACCCATAAATGCATGGGCAGTAACCAGCAATCCTATCTTGGGTTATGCTGACAACTTTGTCTTAAAAGAGCTCATGACATTTCCTTTGTTGGGAAGGGACAAGTGTTACTGTTTTCTTTTTATTGATGAAGGGGAAAAGATAGTGTGTTAGTTAGCTTTCTGTTGCTGTGACAAAATACCTGAGGAAAACAGCTTAAAAGGTTTTGGCTACGGTTTCAGAGATTTCAGTCCATGGTTGATTGACTCCAATTGTTTCTGGGCCTGTGGGAAGGCAAAACATCATGCCAGAAGGGCATGGTGGAGCAAAGCTGCTCAACTCATGATAGCTGGGAAGCAGAGAGAGAGAGAGTATACAAGATAAACCCTTCTGAGGCATGCCCCCAGTGACCCACTTCCTCCTACTAGGTCTCAACTTCCTAAAGTTTCTACCATCTCCCAGTAGTCTCTTCAATTATGAACCCTCAATGGATTAACCAGCTAATGAGATCAGGATACTCATGAGCTAATCACTTCCCCAAAGCCCTGTCTCTGAACACTGTTGCAGCTGGGACCAAGTTTTCAACACATGAGCCTTTGGGAAACATTCCAGATCCAAACTGTAACAATGATATAGCAAAGTGGCCCCGGATATATAAGTGCCAACATCATACTGAACACTCAGGTCATGGTAGATGTTAAAGTGCCTCTCGCAGGGGGAGCCCACAGCTCCAGAGTGCCTGGTATGGAGGACCTGTTTGACATATATTGCTCCTATTTAGTCTTACAGACCCTGTGAGGGTCTTATGTTTCATAAACAAGAAACAACGTCTCAGGATGTCCACTTGTCCAGGAACTGAAGGCAGATCTGGGACTTCAAGTTTAAGTGCTCTGACCTTTACTCTAGACAGCTTGACTTTTGCAACTGCAGGGTGGACATCACTGCACTGGACAATGCTACCTTTACGGACAAGTATCTCAGGGCTCCACCTGAAACTGAGTTAGGTTAAAACTGATGCTTGGGAGCCAGAGACACCTAGGAGTAGCATCCAGGAGGGTCTCTGAATTCGGGATGGGAGTGGGAAGAAAAGTTAATTTAGATATGAAATCTAATTTTGGGTGCCTCAGATAACCCTTTTGATCTATTTTCTTGAACTCTATAGAGAAAGCTCTTTGTACAAAGACTCTCTCATCTGCTTTGTGGTATAGAAGAAATAAGCATTCCATCCCCAAATGCCCTTTAAAAGGGTGACTTAGTCTTTGGTCTAGATGAATTGGGGCTGTCACTTTTAAAGTGATTCATTCCAGTCAAGGATGGAGAACGTTTTATTTTTCAAAACAGACCACTGTGGTGTTGACCTAAAAAGGCCCAAGTGAAGCCTGCATGTGTCTGAGCACACTGGGCTTGGGCTCATTCCTCTCTCACATCAGCACATGGGCGCTGTTTCACAAGAGATGCTGCAACTGCTATTTCTTTTTATTTTATTCAGTGCCGAAGTAGAAGAAATATTTCATGAAATTTGCCATTCTCCACTGCAAATATATTAGAAACCTTGAGAATGAAATTAATCTCTTTCTACCTAGAGAAGTTATTTTAAACATGTCATTGCCATCAAAAAGAATTTTTAAAAATTTTTATTACTTTTATTTTTATTTCATTAACTTATTTTTCCAGTATTGGGGATGGAACCCAGAACCTCATGCATGCTAAGCAGGCACTCTACCATTGAGCTACATACTCAGTCCTCAAACAAATTATTTTTAAAGATTGGCCAGCAGGTAAGCATATCATTGATTTTGTTCCAATTTCAGTAGATATGTTGCCAAAGCAACACTGTTAGCATTGATTTTGGGATAATTGATCAATATATGCCTCTATCCTTGCCTTAGTCTCCTATGAGAATATTATATAAATGCAATTATTAATTTCAAGTATTTTAAGAGAGCTTCACATGGATTTATCACTATGTCAGACAATGTAAGAGACATCAAAGAAACAAAGAACCCATCTCTTCCTGATGCTGGAAGGTAACACAGTAGACTCCTCAAAGCACAGTGTGGAACAAGGGTTCAGTAAAAGTCAACTCCTTCTCCACCCACCTTTTCTCCTTAGAAGAAAAGTTCTCTCATGCAGGAGAGTGGGGGAGGTGTTGTTCTAATATAACTTTTGCCTAATGTTTGGCAGAACAAAGGTCTAAAGCTTCAAGTTCAAATAGGTATCAGAACCTGCAAGGAAACCTATTTTCTTCCTAGGCCTCTATTTATGATCTACAAAATGAGAATAAAACCTGTCTGCTGAGCAGTAATCTAAAGATCTTTTATGATCCAAGAATAAAAAGGACTATAGAAATGCAAAGCTTTATTTATTGCTAATACTCAGCAGGGACTAATTCCCATGTGGACCCTATTGGGCCTGAACAGCTTGGCAAGGGCTCTTCTGCCTCCTTCCAAGATTAAGCTCCTTGTCTCTGTGAACACAGAAATCAATCTGCTGCAGAGCTTGAAGAATCCTTATAGTTATGCCCCTGTACATTTACCACCTATTCTTCAAGGCTAAGAAAGGCTTTGCAATCTTCCATGACCTCTCCATCAGCATTTTTTTGCTGAAAATGATAGAATGTTTCTTTGGAAGCACAGGCAGGCATATCCTGCTGCTTGGGCCCCCAAGAAACAACATGAGCTGGGTTAAATGAAGTGTTGCTGGGAATCTGGGCCATTTGTTGTCTCCTAGAACAGCCATCCTCTAGAAACTAGCTATAAATACCTTCAGAAATAATTTCCCTTTAAAGTCCTGGGTAACACATGCTAACTGGATTTCTGCAAATGAAAGGGGACTTTGGTAAAAGAAAACAATCATTACTTCCAAAGGCTCATGAACAGCTTTGTAGGTTAACTTGTGGGAGGATACTGCCACCTGGTGGTCAGCAGTATTACTTTTATTTTTATAAAATAATGTTGAGCAAAAAGAGCTCAACATTAGGAAATGGCGCTCTGAATAACCAGACCTGTTAATAACAAAGAAACAGCCCAGCGAACAGCCCTTCCCAAACAGAGCCAGATTCTTAAAATGGCCCCATAAATGTAAGGAAAAAGAAAAGGCTTGGCATTTTCTGTGTGATCTGAACGAAGACATTTTCTATCCACTCAATTCTTAGTACCAGGTATACTGAAGGATGTGATTCTTAAAAAAAAAAAAAAAAAAGCAAAATGAAAACACACTTAACTATACAAAAACATTTTACTTCATATTACACGTACTTTTTAAAAAAGGCAGAAACATTTTAGTTTATACCACTTCACACAAAAGAACCTTGTGCTGGAATTCTAGAAGGACCTTGGAAATCAGTTTTAAAATGATTTGCTTTCACATAGTCTTTTTCAGGGCTGCTTGTGTCATGCTGAAGAGATAGGCTTCATAGATTATATTTAAGAAGTTGTCGTCATTCTGAAAAACAAAATCAAAAGGCACAGGAAATGTAATTGGGTGGCAGAAACCAAGGCTACCTATCTTGGAGCAGAACTGGCATCAGATACTAAGATGCTCACCTCTGCTTGTTCACTTGAACAGCGGGCAGGGTTTAACCGTAAGTGAGGCCGTCAAATGAAGCTGAAGGCAAGGCGGGGATGGGGCTGCTGGCTTTCAACTCAGTGTCTGAGGTAGCAAGTGCTCTTGGGCAACAGAGCCACATGGCATCATGGAACAAGGTTTACTCATGAAAAGCCAGAGTCTGCTGCATGAAAAGATGCATTTCAGCCAGACTGGTAGCATTTGCCTGTAATCTCAACTACTCAAGAGGCTGAGGCAGGAAGATTGCAAATTCAAAGGCTCTCCTGGGCTAATGAGACCCTGTCTCATTTTTTTTCTTTTCTTAAAGAACTGGAAGTATAGCTAGTGGTAAGTGCTTGCCTAGCATGTTGAGGTCCTGGGTTCACTACCCAATAAACCTCCCCAGACCCCCCCCCCCCCAAAAAAAAAAAACAGGTCTCCAATGGATGAGTTGAAAGGAAATGATTTAGGTTACTTAGCCACATCCCCAGTCCTTTTTATTTTTTATTTTGAGACAGGGTCTCACTAAGTTGCTTAGGGCATTGCTAAGTTGCTGAGGCTGGCTTTGAACATAGGATCCTCCTGCCTTAGCCTCCCGAGTTGCTGGGATTACTGGTGTGTACCACCACTCCCAGCTGCAGATAGTCCTTAAAGGTTCTCCAAGTTGCCCACAATATGTATGCTTTGTTTTGGGGCAATAATTAGCATGTTATCTGCAATATGCTTCATTGGTCTCTTACCAAAGCCAAAATAAATCTTCCCATGAGTGGTGGAAAACTTCTGGCCTTGGCAAGTGGGCAGCAGTTAGACTGATAAGTCTCTGGATTCTTTTGCCAGGCTACAGGGTGAGAGAGAACCACAGGTCTAATTGGTGGTTTTCTTGATTTTTAATGCTAGAAACATCTCCCTCCCACTCAAACCCTTTAAAGCTTTAGCAACTCACACACATTTCATATCTTCCCTCTACCCCCTGCTCCCACCACACACATAGACAGCATTATTCTCATGAAATGAAGGCAGTAATGTTATTCCTGTTTTTCCTTCAAAAATAAAGTCCTATGTATGAGATTGTGTCCTAATAAATGAGACTAAAACCACAATGCCTGAGTGACTTCTAGCGGTGCATCAGGAAGGTGATATCTAGAACACAGAAAGAAGTGAAATAGGCCTGGGGTTGTGGCTCAATGGTAGCGTGCTTGTCTAGCATGTATGAGGCACTGGGTTCAATTCTCAGCACCACATTTAAGTAAATGAATAAAATAAAGGAGGAAGGAACAGGAACAGAATTTCTAAGTAGCAATGTATAGAGTCTTGGGACAATGTGATATAATGAAATGAGCCAGAAAAGTACAGATCTTTAAAATTCAAACTTAAATTTATTTTTCTTTATTGTTCACAGTAAAGAAGTTTATTCTCTCTAAACTCTCATGAACTTGTCATGGATAGTTTAAAAACATGGAAAATATTCTTATTCTGATATTTATGAATTAGCAAGCCTCAATCATTTGTTATTGATCTTATTTTATATCAGTTTGCTATTAGGTTTTTGCACTCAGATGCTGATTTCTAGCCCCATTCTTTTCATTCTTTCTAAAATGTGTTCTTTTTAAAAAATGCTTTTACTAATAAGAGACTCTTGTCTCTTTAAGTAGAATGAGACAACTGCAAAAGCCCTAGCCTACTCTTTTGAAAAGACATCTGGTGCTTAAACAAAGTACCACAAACATTTTTCTTAAAGACCATTCAACACAAAGATACCTAAGTACATTAAAGACATGAATTGAAATGTCTGAAGACTGTCTGGATGAAAGCATACCCCCCTTTCCAAGTCCTATCCTTTACTCTGTGTGTGCTTTGCTAGGTAGGGCACTAAATGCTCTTCTAGAGACTGGTCCCTTACAACACTTGTGTTATTAACATGCCCATGACATAACACAGGGGCATGGGGCACTAGGAGACAGATAAGGTATAATCCCAGTTCTGCTTATTTACTGTCTATGTGACCTCAGGCCAGTCACTTACCTCAATTTTCTTGTTTGTAAAATTGGGACAAATAATAAGGTTTTGTATAGGATTAAATGAATTTATATATGTAAACAGTGCCCTGCACAAAGCTGTATATGAGTTTCAACTATTATTCTTATTGTGAGACAAGGAGTCCCATCATACCACCCTGTCCTAATTAGCAGGTCTCAAAGCCATTTGTAAAATGTGCCTGAAGCAGTCACAGCCAGTACTTGCTTCCCTGCCTGTTCCTTACATGTTTGATAGTCTGCTGGACTCAAGACTACGACTTCCAAGATGGGCCTTACGTCTGTTTCCCACAGTGAACTCTCTGGGCACCCTGCAGTGCCCAGAGTCCCCTCAGTGTTGGCCTTCTTTTCTGACAGGTGACAGCTTGGAGGCCTTAAGTCAATTCTCCAAGTCACAAATCCCTTGAAGGGTACAGACATCCAATGCTACAATTAGTATTCTAAACATTGTCCAGCTAGCTGAGTTCAGAAGCCGTTGGGGTGCACGCTGAGTTGTTACAGGCTCCCTTCTTGTTCTTGGGAGGACTAAATAGGCATCCGCTTATATCTCATGGCCACAACCAGTAGGTCCACAGGTTGGGTAAGGAGGGAAGGGAGATGACAGGGCCCTCTTACCTGAACCAGATATAGCAGTGCTTCTTGGAGCTGCAGCCTGGTGAGTGGGCTGCCAGCTACCACAGAGGGCTCCGGGTTCTGCAGGGGCAGGAGGAGGCTGGTAGGGGCAGCAGGCGATTTCTGGCCTCCCAGGAATAAGAGCCCATTATCCCTCTCCCTCGGTGGGGTGCCGGAGGAGGCTTTTGTGAACACCATGGGGGACATGAGCAGAGAAGGAGCCACTGTAGCAGGAGTGCGCTGAGGTGAGATGACCTGCTCACAACAAAGACATACACACAGGCAGGATTAAGGAGGAGCCCACTGAAACTCAAGATGCAGAGGCCCCTTGTGTACAATGGTGGATATCAGTGAATCTCAGTATTAATTGTTCACAGCTCCACCAGGTGGGAAAAACTTATGAGATAACTGATGTCTGCTCAATTCTTTAAGTGTTTTCCTTTGGCATCACTAAGCAGCTCTGGAACAGTCACTCTGCCAGCTGTTGTATTCCCACTGCATATAAAGCTTGGCTTTTGGATAATATGCATTTAGGAATGCTGGTCTTCCTCAAGGATGCTGTCCATTGCCCCAACCTAAAAATCCAAGCAACCATGCGAGTTGCTGCATGTATTTATTTGGGGCACTTCTCCTGCTCCTCTGCTGCCTCACTCATTTGTTACAAGGAGGGACCATGATTTGTGGGGTTTACTCTCGGGTCCCTTCCTGATAGGACCTGCCTGCTTGTGGAGTGTTTTCTGTTTCTCCAGGCTGACATGCTGGCAGCACTGCTGGTGACCTGTCTGTCTGGGTAAGTGTGTCTAACTCACTTGGCTATAGACCTAAAACCAAGTTCCAAGTTTCCCAATGGCTTTTCCAGTTATGCAAGTGACATTCTGATCCCTGTCTGACTAACTCCTACAGTTATCATGTGTTTTTAACTCAGGTAAGAAAAAGGGATGTTATTTCTCAGCTTCCAAATACCCTCAAAGAGGTCATGAGAAGAGGTAGAGAAGCCATCGATATAGAAATTGCTGTAATTTTATAATCATTCCCTTGGCATCTTTTTTTAGCAGAAACTGGCCTAGAGGAAGATGGGCTGTTTGTTTCTTTTAACTTGTCCCTATTTGATATTTTGAGGAGAGGTGCTGAGAACTGATGCTCCCCAGGGGAGGAGTCGCAGCATTAGGAAGAGCACAGCGTGGGTTGCCAGAATGTACACTTTCCTTACTTGGCTCTTGACATTTGTGAGTACTGAAGAGAGAATTATATATGCAGAAATCTAAATCAGACTATTAATCCCACTTTTCTAATTCTAAGTCATCAAAGAGAAAAAAAAAAGACATTTTAAAAGGGGGACAATATCATGCTGAAATGAGGGTGAAGGTGAGTTATAAACGTCATTCTACAGTTAGAAGGCACTCAGATTTGGGATTTTAATTTAAAAAAAAAGGGAAAAGATTTGGACACAGTATTTCATGTACACAGAGTTATGGCACACAGCCAACATCTTTGTTTTCAAAAAAGCAAAAGCTTTCTGAGGAACTGTTTTAAGTTACATTACACAACATGTCAAAAAGACCAGTGGTAATATGTGTAATGAGTAGGGGGAACTTTTGATTTTTAAACCACTATATTTTCAGTGATTTTGTGGCCATCCAAAGAGAACATTATCCCAAGCCAGATCTCCAGATATCACCACAGGCAGATGAACCAGCAGCTTCTGGTTTTCTCACAATTCCCAGTTATTGATGGATATACAGAACCATCTCCCCAGAAGGTTAGAATATTTCTAAAAATTCTAAGATTCTTCCCTCTGTGGCAGCTTGTGTATGGAGAGCAGAGGTAGGTGGCACACTTAACCCTTCCCTGATCTTCATTAAGCTATGATGATTTAGAGGTGGATAAAATAGGTTGTTACTTTTATGAGGTGTTTTCTGCTTACTTAAGGAACTACATGACTGTGGGCTCTGTAGGGGTAGGAAGTTAGCTCTCTCCTGTTGTAGAGCACAATGCCCAACATGAAGGAAGTGCTCAAAATCATTTACTAAATCGATGGACAAGCAATAACTGTAGAGAGAAAAACAAGAAGTCAGATGTTTGATATTTCAGAGTGATTTTAAACCAGGCCATTTGAAGTTTCCATAGGTAAAGATATGTTCTTTTCTATGTCTGTGCTGGTCTTTAGACCTTATAGCTTTATGAGGATTTGACTTTACAAATAAACAAGTGCTAAAGTGTGGGGGTTGGGGGAGCTTCCACACTGCTAAGCAAAGGAAAGTTTCTCCTTCCAGGCAGAGAGGTAAGGCCAACAAGATGCATAGGGGTGGCTTTAAACAGAAATGTGTATGATACCTGGCTCCTACGGCAGGAGAAGATTGCAAATTTCACTGCATCATAGTGATAAGATATCTGGTAGCGGGTGGTGGTGGTGGTGGGGTGGCAGTCGATACTTACCTGCAAAAGAGGAGCATGCTTCTCTGTGCTGGATGTCCTGTTGATCCATGGCTCCAAGGGTTTGCCTGTCCTAGAACTCTGGGTCACCACAGGGAACTTGGCTGCCAAGGCTGGACGGTGAGAGGTCTGTAGCTGCTGCTCCTGTTGTACAACCTGGAGCTTTCTCAGTAACTCCTTGGGGGAGATCACTCCAGGGCTGCTCGTCTGACTGTCAGAGACAGGGAGCATTTGTCTTGGCAGGGTGGACTGTCCCTTTCCATGAGCCTGATGTCCTAGCATCTGAGGTGGAAGGGAGCCATTGAAATACACCATTTGTGGCTGGGCCAGATCCTTGGCTGGAGTCACAGGAGTGGCAGCAGAGAAGGTTCTGCTGCTGTTGGGGGCAGCTGGGCTCACAGGGCCTGGTGTACTAAGGTCATACGTGTTCACTGCCCCTGGGGTACTCTGGAGCTTCTCTAACAGGTTGTGCGTTCTGGAAGTGCTGTGCCCAGCATGTGAAGTCCTGACGTTATGGGGAGACCCTGGCTGGAGAGGTCCAGGAATAATTTCCCTGGCAGAATAGGAGCTTCCATTCTCACAGGGCCTCTGTTCAGGCAGCTCTGACAGTGGGTGCAGGTCCGTGTTTCTGATCATGAGTTTTTGAATGGCTGGACAAAGCTGCTTCTCCATGAGAGGTGACTGCCTTCTGGGCTCCTCATAGGACAGGGAGCGTACAACTCCCTGCCTAACTGGAAATTTCTCTTGCTGCTGCTGCTGCTGTTGCTGCTGCTGCTGCTGCTGTTGTTGCTGGGGAGTTTGGGGGAGTGCTACAGTTTCTGGACAGATAGCTTTGTCCTGCTTCCCAAACAGAGCTGTCAAGGATAAGTGTTGGGGTTCAGGGTCTAAGGTCTGGAAAAAATAAAGATATCTGAAAATGGGTTCACACACAATTTGGTTATGGAAGAGGGCTACAAAACATAACTTACCTAACTGATGATTTATTCTATTTAAAAGGATCAATTAGAGAGAATGAAAAAATTATAAACTTGAAAATTTTGAGACTTTCTTTTTAATGTCAAATACTTTCATACCCTCTTACCCCTAAGATAGTCATTATATTTTCATGTCTGCTGATTGAAAAAGTAGACATGAGATCCTCGAGGGGCCTGGGGTTGGAAACTACTATGGGGCAAAATTACATATACTAACAGATAAACACTCTCTACAACAGGAAGTCCACCTAAGCCTGTAGAGTACAAAGGTATTGAGAATACACAGAAATAGGAGGAGTTTAGGTTCCTGATAGCTTTTCACAGAATTACAGAAATCTAGAGCTGGAAAGAAACATAAGTCATTTACTACAACTTGATCTTTTCAACTATATCCCAGTGGCTTTTTAAAGAACAGTTATCAGATATGTACACTGTGTCTAGGCCAGCCAGCTAGAGAGCTCCTCTCTTCCTCTCTGGATCAACTCCACCTCTTTTGGCCACCTTCTGCACTGTTGCATTAAGAAAACATGAGCTCCATTCTAAAGTCAATATATTCTGGTTTCTCTATTAAAATACAATAAAAATTTCCATGGAAAGCAATAAAAAGAAAGCTAAAAGAAATGAGAAAAGACTTCTTAGTCTTCATCTTTGGCTCCCTGTTCATTTTCAGAATTTTGATTTAAACTAATTCCTTGAAGAAAAACCTTTAATCAGGAATAACCATAATTAAATGACAGACACTATATTTGCAATAAATGAGACTTTCAGATTAGCAAGTTTTGTTATTGCTGTACTATTCTGAAATATATGTATATATATACACATACACACACATATATATAATACATAAACATACATTGACAAAAAATCTGCTATTTTTTATGTTTTAAATTGCATATAAAGCTGCCACATTTATGTTTTAAATTGCAAATACAGTGACAAGTCATCAGGTCTACAGGGGATTTTTATTTTAAAATTTTTTATTGGTGCATTGTAATTATATATAATGTTGGGATTCATTATACCATATTCATACATGCACATAACTTTATCATCTCACTCCTTTTTCATTTCCTCCCTTTTCCCTCCCCTCCTCCCTCTACAGGAGGTTTTTAAATCACTCCTTTAAACACTGAGCTCATCGAGAACAAATACCCCATTCTCTTCACATAGTTCCTACCTAGCCCTATGCTTGGCATAAGGAAGTGCTCAGAAATATTAACTTCACTGCCGGGTATGGTGGTGCACACCTGTAATCCTAGCGGCTTGGGAGGCTGAGGCAAGAGGATTGCAAGTTCAAAGCCAGCCTCAGCAAAAAAGCGAGGCTGTAAGCAACTTGGTGAGACCCTGTCTCTAAATAAAATAAAAAAATAGGGCTGGGGATATGGCTTAGTGGCCGAGCACCCCTGAGTTCAATCCCTCACACCCCCTCCAAAAAAAGAAATATTAAATTCAGTTTTGTAGCTTTGGTGGTTGTTCTTTCAGTGACCTTGGAAACCACCTACCCCAGAAAGAATATAGAACCAGTGGGAAATGTTTCTGTTGCCTCAGACAACATGTTATTGGTCATCTGATGATGGTTTTTAAAACAAGTATCTTCTAAGGCATTCAAGTCCACAAGACATGAGCACAGAAGGTGGTAAATACACAAAGTAAAAACTTTAACCTCTGTCTAGGAAAAATAAATCATTAATAATAAAAAATTTTAACTTGAAATTTTTCCTAGATTGACCTTCAGCATTCTTCAATGGCACCAGGCCCTCCGCTGATACACTCTGGGTAAAAGTTCTGTAAGAATTCCACAGAGAGGCTGAGATTAAAGAAGCAGAGAACTTACCTGGCTGGGCTGAGGTATGAGCTGCTGCTGGTTGTCACTGGGTTTTACTGGGATTGGTTTGATGAGATTAGGGTTATCATAGATGGCAGATGAACTCCTTATCTGTTTTGGCTCAGAACAGGTTTTATACTGAAATGGAAAAAACAAACACCTCAATCTTTGGTGTAAAAGATTGCCTTAGTGTTTTTTTTTTTTTTTTTTAAACACCTTCTGTTTCTTATTTAATTGGTAGGTGATTTTTTTTTCCCCCCTTTTATAGGTCTCATGCACAAGGGATAATTTCTTAAATTTCTGTGGTTTGAGCTATATTTGGGTATAAATCAAATTTTAATTTTAATTTTTCTTAGTTGTACAATTCAGTGCCCTAAACTATTGCCAACAACATCAGCCTGAGGGTCTAGAGTTCTCAAATCCTTGTATAATTGAAAGGCTATCTATTTGTTTAAGTAGTAGTCTTAAAAGATATGCTCTAATGCTTTTCAATGATAAACAGTTACAGAAACTATTCCTTAAATAACATGTCTGGAATAGAATAGAGGATTTTCCCTCCATTTGTGGGAGAGTTACTGAATATATTACATCAAAGCAACTAAACCTTTTTGGTCTACAAACCAAGAATAAGAGCTGACTCAAACCACTGATTTAAAAATTACTAATATCATCTTTATCTAATAAATAGCTTCTTGCATAAACACAATAATTCAAATCTGAGTGTTCTGAGCCACTCACTACAAATTAGATTTTCATAGAGAAAGAGACAAGAGACAAGCCTTATCATTTCAAATGCTGACTCATTAACATCCATTAATCTAACCAACCATGCAATTGCTAACACAGTGGGATTCATAACAAAAGGAGAACAGCAATGATGTTGGTGTCTACTTTGCTAAAGCATCAAATAAAACACTATAAAAACACTACCTTCTGTACTATAGATTCTCTACAGCATCATTAGTTTCAACTGTATAGTCCAGGCCTCAGGCTACAAGACATTTCACACTGTACCTGATATAGAACGAGCTATAAACACAATCTTATCCCTCAGGAACCCAAGGTTCCCAATGTGTTTTCCAGTTATTGGGGTACATTTTTAAATTCAAGGATATGGGAGCATGGGATATATTACTACTGAGTGTACTTAAGATTTATAAGGTTAACCATACAACATTCTATATTCTTTCAAGAATTCTGTCAATCATTTGGGTGTGTGGCCCTAGTATTAAATGGGATGCTAAATCACTTTATGAGTCATAAAAGTGTTATTTCTTATTCTTAGGTGAATGATGATGGTGATGGTATGGCTGATGGCCAGCTGCCCTAACTATCCTACGACATGGATAACCAACAAGGCAAGACAAGAATACTACTGAGATATCGTCACTTAAAAGATTTTCGTGTGAAATACCTTTCATTTTTGCTTTCTATTTGCAATAAAGTAGATATTTACTTTCACTAATTTTCTATGAACTAAATTTCAAGCAAAGAAAACATATTTTTCCCACCTTCCCCATGCTGATATCCAGATGGGCCAAAAGGCTGTTTGCCTCTCTTTATGCTCCTAGGTAGCTTTTTCCACTTACTGTGTCTCTAGAAACTATCTTCTATGTTACTACAACTGTCTATTTCTCTGAGAGGCATTGCTTTATAAAAATTGCTCCCTATCAAATTGCTCAGAATTAAACATTATTCACCTCAGTACTTTGTAGCTAATTTTCCAGTTGTTTAATTTTCTAGGCTTCCTTTAATCCAAATAATTTTAAAATACTTGGGAAAAAACACAGCTTTTGAAAACATATGTAATGGATTCTTCATGGAGAACCTGAAGCATTTCTTTAAAACCTAAAAAACTATGTCCCATTTTATCAATCACACATACACAAATATGTGTCTGGGCCAAGAGAAATGTCTGAAAAAAATAAAATAAAAGTGCCAAAAGCAGACATTTTGGGTTATGGATTATAGGTGCTTTCTCTTTTATTAACTAAAAATTTAAAAGTTGATACATAACAATTATGCATACCTATGAGGTACAATGTAATGCTTCTATACAATATATATTGTTTAATGATCAAATCAGGTTTATTAGTACATCTATCCCTCATAGATTTACCATTTCCTTGTGTCAATAACATACAAAAACCTCCCTTCTAGCTATTTCAAAATGTTCATTATTGTTCACTACAGTCACCTCACTGTATCACAGGACCCTAGAACTGATTTCTCTGAACCGTAACACCGTACCCATTGACCAATCTCTTCCCATCCTCAACCTCCCTCTCCTCCTCAGTCTCTGATAACCACTATTATATTTTCTGAGGTTACCTTTAGATTCCAAATGAGATCATGTAGTATTTGTTTTTCTGTGTCTGGCTTATTTCACTTAATGTAATATCTTTCAGATCCATCCACAAAAGGATGTCATCTAAATTTATGGCTGAATAGTATTCCATTATGTATATGTATCTTTTCCTTTTATTTTTCACATTTTAGAATTTCCTCATTGAACATCAAAAGAGACAATTAAATAAATCACAATTCTATCTAAAAATGAGGGACTCTTGTCTTAAGTCAACAAAAACAGTCCACTACTAAATATCCAGAACCTCACTGTGCAACCCACACATCACTGCTGAAGCTGGTTCTTTTTCTTACTGAACTTTTTAAACGTTATTTTACTATTTGCTTTAATTTCAACTACAAGTTAAATAAGGAAGAGGTAAAGGGAGATGGCACACAAATTAATATTGTCCTTTAAAGCAGATTCATAGAAAGTTGTTTCTAAAGAAGCATAAAATATTAGCAAAAATTAAATGTTTATATTGTTTTATTAGCTTTCTGTAAAAAGTTGTGTTACTAGGCTTTAGTTTACCAATATCATATACCTAAATATAGCTCAAAACTTTTCCTCTTTTACTTCTTGGGATTTTCATGAGGAATTCTACAGAGACTTAAGTTTAAAACTTAAAACTGCAAAAATACTAGAAAAAAATATATGGAAAAAGGTTTACGACATCAGTCTGGGCAATTATTTATTTATTTGTTTGTTTATTTATTTATTTATTCTTTTTGGCTATGACCCCAAAGGACAGGCAACAAAACCAAAAATAGACAAATGGGATTATATAAAATTATAAAGCTTCTGTACAGCAATGAAACAACAGAGTAAAGACATAACCTATGGAATGGAAGAAAATATTCTGCAAACTATACATGTGCTAAGGGCTTAATATACAAAATACGTTAGGAACTCAAACAACTCAAAAGTAAGAAAACATAACCTGATTTTAAAAAATGGGCAAAGGACCCGAAGGAACATTTTTCAAAAGAAGATATACAAATGGCCAACAAGCATATTTTAAAAATGCTCAGGTTGGGGTGTAGCTCAGTGGTAAAACTTTGCCCAGCATAGGTGGAAATGCAAATCAAAACCACAATATCATCTCACTCCAGTTAAAATGGCTGTTATAAAAAAAAAAACAAAATATAACAAGTGTTGGTAAAGATGTGAAGAAAAGGGAACCCTTACATTGTTGGTTGGAATGTAAATTAGTACAACTATTATGGAAAACAATATGGAGGTTCCTCAAAAAATTAAATATAGAACTACCATAAGATCCAGCTATCCCACTTCTGGGTATATATCCAGAGAATACGAAATCAATATGTGAAAGAGATAACTTCACTCCCAAGTTCATCGCAGCGTTATTCACAATACCAAGATAAGGAATCAACCTAAGTGTCCATCAACAGACAAATAGAGAAAATGTGGTATATATTCATAATGAGATATTATTCAGCCTTTTAAAGAAAGGAAATCCTGTCATTTGTGAAAACATGAATGAATCCTGAGATCTTATATCAAAGGAAATCAACCAGGCAAGAGAGACAAAGGCCACATGATCTCACTTTTATGTGGCATTTAAAAAAATAAAACTCACAGAAGCAGAGAGTAGAATGGTGGCTATCAGAGGCTGATGGTGGGGGGCCTGGGGAGATGTTGGTTAAAGGATACAAAATCAGAAAGGAGGAAATAAACTTAAGAGATCTAGTGTGATTCATGGTGACTATAATTAATAACAATATATTGTATACTTGAAAGTTGCAAAAAGAGTAGCTTTTAAGTGTTCACAAAAAATATTACATATATGGGGTAATGCATGTTAATTAAGCTTGATTAACCATTCCATAATGTATACATGTATAAAATCATGAGATATACAATAACATATGTAATTTTACTTTTCAAAAAATAAAAAATAATTTAAAAAATAAAACTGACCAAAAAAATTCTAGAATTGAAAAGGATCTCAGAAGTCTTAGTTTAACAGTTTCCTAGAAAAGTGAAATTCTTTTATAACATTCCCAATAGATAATCTTTCCATCTCTTCTTAGACACTTCCAATAATGGGGACTCACTTCTCCACAAGAATTCTGAGGAAAATCTTATTTTCTTTCTCTCTTTACCCTCTTTCCATTTCCCACCTTTCTTTATACCTATTTATGATCTTATTTTCCTGAAATGCTGTGTGTGGTAGAGGGGACAACCAGATGGAAGAACGGTTACCTCGACATTGGAAGTTAATAGGGGACACACACCTCTAGTTGTTTAGGTCAGGTTAAATGACAGAGAAAGAACACTTGAAATGGGCCTTGAAATGTTGATCGTATGTGACTGGGTGAAGAAAGGGAGGGGACAGCATGAGAAAAGACAAGAAGGCACTTCCAGAAAGCAAAATTGCTATTCTGCTTGGCAGGAGTTTCAAATATTTGTAGAAGATAGTGGGGTTAAGAATAACCCGAGGCCATGTTGTCAAAGGCCTAAAGAGCCAAGGGTTCATTCACCACCCAGTGAAAAACTAAGCATTTAGACCCCTACATGATTATGCAGGTGCTTCTAGAAAGTTACATTGTATCATATGGCTGCTAATGGAGAAAGGAATAATTTCTTCTATTATTTGTCTCATAGTGGGAGCAACTGACATTATGTATTTGATTTATTGATTTATTGATTTATATTTCTTACATACATGACAATAGTGTATTTGATTTTTATAGAAAAACAGTCTGTACTCTAATTAAACATCTGCATTTCATGTCAACATTTTATAACAACAAAACTATGGGGACATAAAGATAAATATAATGTTATTTTGATCTCAATGAATTGATAGTGTTGTGGGAGAAGTTGACTTAAATGTAATAAATGAGAAAAAACAAAATAAGTTCTACAGAGACGTAGACTGTGTGGGGGAGAGAGAACAACACAGATGGAAGAAAGGTTTACCGGGAAGGTAATTTGTAGAAATGTGGAAAAATTCCATGTAAAAAGTGGCCTGGAAGGATATGTGGATTCTGAAAGGCAAATAAAATGAGGGAGAAAATAGTCCAAACCACAGGTATAATATAAAGTGATTTGTGGCTTTACTATCCCAGACCTGCAATTTGAAATTTCTCCAAAGACCCCAGATACCTTTTAGGGGAAAATAATACTTAGAAATAACAATCTGGATGATAGAAGTGTTTAGTGCTCTATCTAGAGTTCATTTAGGGGTATGGTGGAATGAGATGGTCATCATCACCCTAAGTACATGTATGAAGACACGAATGGTGTGACTTTACTTTGTGTACAACCAGAGATATGAAAATTTATGTTCTATATGTATAATATGAATTGTAATGCATTCTGCTGCCATACATAACAAATTAGAATTTTAAAAAAAATCATGTGAGTAAAAGCATTGGAAACTATTTAAAAAAAAAAAAAAAGGACAATCTATTACAGAATCTCCTCTAAGGAAGAATCCTGAGAAGTTGTTCTCCTGGATTATCACAAATCCTTGCCAGATTCTACGTAGACTAACACATTTCTCTCATTGCATTTTCTGTATTGTTATTAAGGTATGATTATTGTCCCACTCAACTGTAAAGTTCTGAAAGGCAGGAGGTTGTGTCATCCGCTCCTGGATTCCCAGCTCTAGCACTCCTTACATCTGTGGGCATCCAACATGCTGTCAAGTGAGTCCAAGAGTAAGGGCAGATACTGAGTTTCTTTGCTCCTTAGATACTTAATCACGGGTATGACATAGATATGAATTGTTGAATAAGATATTTTAATGATAAAAACTCTCTAAGATAAAAATGAAACCAAATTTTCACTGTGGGACAAAAAATACTTATTGCTACTGAGTTGTCATGTATTTCTAGATCTTTTCAGGGGATTCAGTATTCTTTGTTTCTATACTTAAGAAACAAAATGTGAACTAATAATATTTAACATTATACAGTTTTAACTTAATTTATTTGATTTCTTTTTTTTTCACTCTTACACTGAGGATTTGGCTCCAGACACATTAATGTAATTTCTTATTTATTATATCCATGACAATTGAGAAATTATAATTCTAATATTCCTACTAACAATAAAACCACTTAAGTTCATAATTTCTTTGTAATTCTTTTTCCCTTAAAATATAACCCACTAACACTATTTTGAAGTTATTCTTATTTTTCCAAGTAATTATGTTATAATATGATATTGATATTCAGTTACATATACTTATTTTAGCTACTTTAATAAAAATTCTAAGATTTTTCTTTTCTTTCTTCTTAATTTTATTTTTGTCCATTTTTCTAGAGAGGGTTAATCTTTTACTTCTCAATTTTTGGTAGCTCTTTATAAAATAGGGAAATTAGCCCACTTCCTATTTTTTAGGTGCAAATTTTTTTTTCTCTGTTGTTTTTATAATTTTTCACTTTGCTTCTTTTTTAAAACTTTGAAAAAATATTCACTGTTTATTTTTATGTAGTTGAAATTAATTGCTTTTAAGGCACAGTTAGGAAGATTTCTCTATTCCTAGATTGCAAAGAAATCCTTATAAGTTTTCTTTTGTTATATGAATTTCTAATACATTTGAAATGTACCCCAGCATATGGTATAAAGTATAGATTCAATTTTGTACTCTTCTAAATAATACAAGTTGCCTAAACAACTTGTTTATTTAAAAATCCATTTAAGTAACTGAAATAGTTACCTTTATTAGATCCTAAATTTCTCATATACTTGGGTCTAATTCTGGACCTTCTCATCTATTCCATTGGTCCATCTGGCTGTTTGTGTATCAATACCATCAATTCATATTGTTTTAAAAGTTTAGAACTCAATTTTTAATATCAAATTTTAATATCGGGTAGAGCTTGTTCTGCCCCTGCCTCCCACCCCTATCCCTTTATGTCCCTTTATCCCCACCCTTGCCAATATTGTTGTTCTTTGCTAGGGATTTTCCAGTTATTATTCCCTGTATATTTCTTTACATGAACCTTATGGTCAACTTGTCTAGCTCTACAAGGAGGAGGAAAAAAAGGAGGAGGAGGAAGAGGAGAAAAGAAACCAGTGGTACTTGCTTAGGGGTTACTTCAAATTTATGGACTTAAGGAGAACTTTATGTTGAATTTTCTCATCTGAAAACAGGGCATATAATTATATTTGTTCAAGTCTATTTTTATGCTTTCCAAAAATTATTAAGTTTTTCTCTTCAGGTTTTGTCCATTTTTTGGATGAATTTTATTACAAAGGATTTTATGCAATTTGTCACTACTATTTAAAAAAATTTTTTTAGTTGTTGATAGACCTTTATTTTATTTATTTATATGTGGTGCTGAGAATCAAACCCAGTGCCTCACACATGCCAGGCAAGTGCCCACAGCCCCTTGTTACCCTATTATTGGTGTCTTCTTTCCTAGTGCATCTTCTAACTGGATGCTGTTTTTTTATATAAAGACTATTGATTTCTCAAGCTACCTTTTAATTCACTTAAAAGCAGTTTCCATTAACCTCCTAAAAGCAAATAAACATTTTGTTTTCCATGCAATTTTACTTGGAATAGTGACCCGTCTTTCTTAATGATAATATTCCCATAATGGAATTGAAGTATGTATCACAAGAAAGGGTAAAAGCTCACCTTTGTGTATTCATCTTTGGCTTTGGTAAGCATTCGTAAGATATCTACTTCTTTGCCCTCTCCAGAATTGGGCATCACTGGGGAAATTCCTGCTGCAGCTTCCTGATGGGCTTTCAACTGTTCATACTGAGTTAGGCTAGAAAAACAGAGGGAAAGAGCCACATAAGGAAAACTGATTTAACACAAATGGCTTTAAAAACCATCCCAGTTCTTACCCAGTTGTTTTCATCCTCTTACAACCATATTAGAAATAACACTTCAGGAATTCAAAGAAGAAAAACGAGAGGTGAGGTCTTAATTGACTACATTATGAATATTGAGTAGGGGTCAGCAAACTATAACCAGCAGGTCAAATTCAGTGCCCCACCCATTTTTGTAAAGAAAGTTAGAAACACAGCCCTGCTCATTTGTTTCTGCATTGTGTAAGGCTGCTTTCCTAGTACTGTAGCAGAGCTGAGTAGCTGCAACAGAGATCATATGGCCTGAAAAGCTTAAAATATTCACTATCTGCTCTCTTTCAGAAGTTAGTTTGCCAGCTCCTAGTTTAGAGCACTTGAAAGGACTCTGTCATTCACTGCTAAGAAAGCCCTATTTAGAGTTTTCAAGTAGTGAGGAAACTGCACAACAAAGAGAATTTTTTTTCCCCTTTCTTGTCCCAGAGTGCCTTGAAGCCAAAGCAAGTTTGAGTGTAGCGGCTCAAATCCTATACTTCCTTGGCAGTAGAGACACAGTGCAGAATCCATCCCAATTTTGAAAAGAGGAGCATTTTAAAAGGCGCTTACGGCAATGAAATGAAGAGTGTATTTTGTTGCCCTGAAAACAACACAGAGGGAGACCAGATTGCTCCTACATGTTGCAAGGTAATGTTGAGAAAAATGCCTTTCACTTTGTGTGCTTTGACTTTCAGCTCAAATTCTTTTATTATTGTCATGAAGTTTACAGTAAAAAGAGATCTGAGAATTTATTGAGAGATTTAATTCTAACTGGGACAGGGGTCTGTTCCCACAAGTTGGCTGCTTATTGCTAGTAAATAATCAATTTCCTGACCGAGCTGTTAAGCAATTACTGCAGAATGCTGACAATTTTACCATGGCCTCTTGGCTGAGTTACAGGGTATTTTTTAATCTATATGAAAAATCCTGCTATTATTATCCACTGCACGATTTACAATAACATGAATGTTCTAGGAACTCATTGTTATGGTGTTAAATACCAGTTTGAACACACTTAATCACCATCTGCAACTTGAGCTAGTTATCTAAAATTAGCTCTTGCAAGCTAGATTTTCAGGAATCAATTTTTTTATTAAAAAAGTGTTCCCCATTTTTCATTTTCTTGGGGTCACTTTTTAATAATTTTCTGCCTCAGGATTTTAAAATGGAAATTGGTTCTTTTGCAGACAAAGCTGCAGCATCACATGCACGTGGGCAGCAGCTGTCCTATGTGCTTGACTTAGTCCAGTCCCAGGCTGAGAGCCAGCACTGTAGGAAACAATATTTCATTCTGAGTCTCTTACCCATCCTCATAAATATCAGGGAAATAACTGCCTCACAATGAGCAGCCCTAGGGCTCAGGAACTGATCAAAGTAAACTAATCAGAGCAGACAGCATGCTTACTTGGGCTCTCCTTTCTTTCTTTTTTTAAAATTATACTGGGAATCTAACCCAAGAACACTTTACCACTGAGCTACATCCCAGCCCTTTTTTATTTGTTTATTTTGAGACAGGGTCTCACTGAGTTGCTGAGGGTCTCACTAAGTGGCTGGAGCTGGCCTCGAACTTGGAATCTCAGCCTTCCAAATTGCTGGGATTACAGGTCTACACCACCGTGCCCAGCTACCTGGGCTTTCCTTTCAATGCAATCAGGGAAGCTAAGAGTGGGAAGACAGGCAGTAATGTAAACCGTTTTCCAGAGATAGAACAGGAAGACTATCTTAAGTACTTGGTGTTTGACACTTGAGACATGGGAGGATATTCAGAGCTCCTACAAACATGGACATATAGTTAAAGCAAGTATTTAGGAAAGAAAGGAAATGGAAAATGTTAGAGGATCTGGAGCAGCCTTTTAGGATGGCTCTGAATGTTCTTTTTACTGATAACTTTTCAAAGCAAAAAAAAAAAATGCAAATTTACAAATGAAAATATTAAGGAAAACTGCCATCTGGAACAACTTATATTTCATGTATTTCACATAGGCAGAACAAAATGAGTTGAGTCACTCTAGATGATAAATCTAGTGAAATGTAGCAAATCATTTCCTATGTCTACTTTTCATTCATTAAGTAGTAATAAATGTTTTCTTGATCACTGTGAAATGATTGCTATAAGAGATGCATCCTGTTAAGATTATGGCACAGTTATAGACACTTAGAAATACAACAAAAGCATTAGGTCCTGAAAAATATTTAGCTTTTCAACACTTACTTTTTCATAAGCTCTGCAATTCTTTGGCATTCTTCCTTATCGTAAAACCAAATTCCATAAATGGACACTGCAAAAAACACATTGAACAAAGTATGAGCATCCTCAAAACCACAAAATAGAAAAAAAATTTCCTTTTCATCTTAAAATACCTAATAATTTATGTATTAAATTAATTTATTCAATAATTATGAAATAAATGAAGCCAATATTGGAGTGAAGCTTAAAAATCTAGCACTAGAAGTCATCACAATACCTGACTACAAATGATACTATAGAGCTACAGTAACAAAAAATGCATAATACTGGCATAAAAACAGACACATAGACCAATGGAACAGAATAGAAGACAGAGACAAATCTACACATCTACAGTCATCAGATCCTTGACAAAGGTGCCAAAAACATACATTGAAGAAAACACAGACTGTTTAAAAAATGGTGCTGGAAAAACTGGTTATCCTTATGTAGAAGAATGAAACTAGACCCTATTTCTCACCCTGCACAAAAACCAACTCAAAATGGAACAAACCTTGGAATTAGATCAGAAACTACAAAGCTCCTAGAAGAAAATCTAGGGTCAACATTAGGACATAGGCACAGTCAACAACTTTCTCAATAGGATCCCTAAAGCTCGGGAAATAATGCCAAAAATTAGTAAGTGGGACGACATCAAATTAAAAACCTTCTGCACAGCAAAGGAAACAATTAGGAATGTGAAGAAAGAGCCTACAGAATGGGAGAACAATCTTTGCTAGCTACTTTTCTGACATAGGATTAATATCTAGAATATATAAAGAGTTCAAAAAACTATACCAAAAATAACCCAATTAATAAATGGGCAAATGAACTAAACAGACACTTCTCAAAAGAAAATGGCCAATAAATATATGAAAAACTGTGCAACATTTTTAGAAAGTAGGGAAATGCAAATCAAAACTACACTGGGATTTCATTTCATATATCAGTCAGAATGGCCGTCATCAAGAATACAAACAATAATAAATGCTGGAGAGGAAGTGGAGAAAAAGAAACATTTTTACATTGTTGGTGGGATGGTAAATTAGTATAACCACTTGCAAATCAGTATGGAGGTTTCTCAAAAAGACAAGGCATGGAATCACCATAAAACCTAGCTATATCACTCCTTGGTATTTATCCTAAAGAATTAAAGTCATCATAACATAGGGACATATGCGTACCCAAGTTTCTAGCAGCACAATTCACAATAGCCAAACTATGGAACCAGCCTAGGTGTCCATCAATAGATGAAAGGATAAAGAAAATGTGTTATATGTGCACAACAGAATTTTATTCAGCCATAAATAAAATGTAATCATGTCATTTGCAGGAAAATGAATGGAACTTGAGACCATTAAGTTAAGCAAGATAAGCCAAACTCAGAAGGTCAAGGTTTGTATGTTTTCTTTCATATGTAGAAGAAGCTAGAGAAGAAAAAGTAAAAGAAAGGTGCAGAGATCAGGGGAAATCTCATGAAAGTCAAAGGGAAATCACTAGAGGGATTTATTTTGTTTATTGGAATTCTTTAAGTCCATACAGCCATGTGTAGTAGTCCTGTTCCTGCGCGCACGCGCACACACACACACACACACACACATACACAGTCTAAATAAAGTTATTTCCTTGAAAATATAGCACCTTAACACAATAGGCATTTGGTAAATGCTTCTTACACAAATGAATATAGATTGAAAATGAAATTAGGATTTCTAAACTTCCTGGCTTCAAGACATCATTGTTTCTGTCCTCCATTTGCATATTTCATAAACACATTTCATTTTTATTTTTAAATATTCAGAAACCTGATGCTCAGATTATGCCTAGAAACTTCCCTCCCTTCCCCTTCTCCCAGAAATATGTTAACTAAAAAACTGGCTTTATGAGCTTTAGGATAGGGCACTTGAAAAAATAAAACTTAATAACAAATCTAAAATGTCTGTACAGTAAATTTAAAATTGTTGAAAGATTAGATATGACTATAATTTAATCATTTAGTACTGAAAGAATGTATAATATAGTCACTAGACTCCTTCAATAATTTTTCAAAATGAGTTATACAGTAAATTTAGTATATGCCTATCTCCATCATCTTTATAGTAAAGGTTAAAACAGTTCCAAAATACATTTATAAATATCTAGTTGAGAATCTGGTGGTATTAATCATGTATTAACTATACATGCATTTTTGAAATCTTCATTGAAAACAGAAACAATATTATGATAGAACAATAAAGGCCAACAAAATAAAAATTTTAAAGGAAAACATTTTTAAAATAAAAAAATTCAAAACATTTATTTATATTAATATTATTTTGTCATTAAAACAGCTGGGATATTTTAACTCTACCGTTTCCCCCCCTCCTTTCCTGGTCAATGCCAAGGTATGAAACTTCTGCTTCTTGACAGTAAAAACTCAGAGAGCAAAAGTTATGAAAATGTTTTGTGAGTGCTATTTTAAGCAGGGATCTTAAAGAGGAACCTTACGAATCTGAATTATTAACTTGCCAAGAGTTGGCAATGAGGTTTTAAACTTTGTGTAATTCTCAGTGTATGAGGAATCTTTATTTTATCCACCTATATTTGAAGGGGATAAAAGTGGACACAAAATCCCAGCTTTTTCTTGATGCATGTTAACCTTTTAGATAAAAATCAGACTAAAATTAAAGCCACCAAAACACAAAACTAATTCCAACTTATTAAGTGGTTGAACATCAATGTGTTCCTCCTTAGGACACTGACAATCTTTTAAGGAAAACAAGAACATCTGAGTTCTGAAGTTGCTGTGTTCCCTTCCCCCACCCCCCTTTGGTACTGGGAATTGAACCCAGGGGTGCTTAAGTGAGCTATATTCTCAGCCCTTCTATATTTTATTTAGAGACAGGGTCTCGCTGAATTGCTGAGTCTCACTTTGAACTTATGATCCTCCTGCCTCAGCCTCCTGAGCCACTGGGATTATAGGTATGTGCCACAATGTGATGTGTTCTTTATGATAGTTTTTGTATCAAGATAAAATTCTTTCATCTTAGGATCTTTAAATGCGTATCTGGAAACTTCACATTCAAAGTTGTTTCCAGTCCACAGCACTCATTCCCTACAAAGATTCCTACACACCAACCTTCCTACTCTCCTATTCTTGTAGGTAAAAGCAGATTGGATTATTGATGTTCAACCACTAAATAAATTGGAATTAGTTTATGTGTTTTGGTGGCTTTAATTTTAGTTACAATCCTAGAAGCCTGCTCTGTTCTTTTTTTGGCTCCAGGGAAAACATTCTTTCCTTGGATACTGAGTTTCCCAAAACTATCAAAGGACAAAGGTGATAGAAAGGGAGAAAAACACAGTATAAAACAAGAAACAGAAGGCCCAATGGCAGAGGAAAAGCCAGCTATCGGTGTTGTTAACTCCATTAGTAGAAACATTTTGGGTGTCATTCTTCTCAATATTAGACACTTATGGCATTAGACATAAGGAACTAGATTTTCACAAGGGTAGGATGCCAAGGAAACTGTTGATACAACAGAAAAGCAGCTTGACTTGACATTGACACTACCATGAGATAACTGGAATACAGATTTATGGAGAGAAAATGCTAGAAAAACATCTTTCAAATGTCAACTCAGAGTGAAAAAAAGAATGGGTTTGTAGTAATTATTTAAGACACCAGGGAGACTGCTTTAGGGCCTGAACATTTATCTTTAAAGCAACATGGTTTTAAAATGGGATCATTTTGAAATAATTTTCTCATCCCAGTTAGGATTTAGTTCGAACATAAAGTTTAAATAGCTCGTGTGCGTGTCGGTGGGGTGGGGTGGATTGAAAAATAGGTTTATCAACTGTCCTGGCCACTGAAAGGTGGCACCAAGATAAAATTTAGAACTGGTTCTAAATTTTTTTTTCCTACCTAAAATAGTTTTGCAACTTGAGAGGCATTCCACTGGGAAAGGGGCTGTGAATTCCATTAAAGTGCACATTCCAACTGAAGTTTTCTGCCCAAGGTCTACCAACCTCTGTACAAACCTATCACTCTTCTACACAAGAGGGCATATCAGAACAGCTCGTGGTGATATACAAAAACCAGAGTTCATCATGCCTTCTGGAGGTGATGAACTGACAGGCTGACAGAAACCATTAACTTCACATTTCAATCCAAGGTTTCCTGTAAAGCCACTGGGTGAGAGGCCTGTCCAGACACTGGCAGTGAGCACAGCAGGGAAGGTAGGAAAAGACAAGAAACAAGAAAGGTGTGCTTTTAGAATTCTAAAACTTAAAAGTAGTCTAAATTTGCAGCCATTGTATGGACCCTGTAAACTTTTGTGATTCCAAAATGTCCCTTCAGGAATAGTTTCTGAGTTTTAAAAAATTACAAGGAGAAAAGATCAAAAGCAGGATATTTGTTTAGTTTTAAAATTAACCTATTAGTACACATCTGGAAATTTGCAATGCTCCGAGCATTTGTTCAGCCCTCTACACCTGCATATCAGCCGCTTTCCAGTCACCTGTCTGCCGAAACAGAGGTAAAGTTCAAGGGTACATTGGTGCATGAAGCTCAACTCAACTGTTTCTACATCTCTCCTGGAGGTAAGAAACCAAAAGTGAAGTGAAGAATAGGAAGAACATGTTTACAAATTTACTCTTTACAGCCTAATGATACCTAGTCACATTCTGATGGCTTTCCACTCTAAGGACTCATCTCTTCAGCAGTCCTCTTTTATTTAATGGGGACTTTAGCAGCACAGTTGTGAAATTTTGCCTAAAATTGCACAATCCTGGTTAATGCTATTCTTTGAAAATTTTCAACTGAAAAGATGATATATCAGGTAACAAGGAATGCAACACTGCCTTTATATAGTAAAACATCTATCTTCTACTTTCCTTTTAATTCTGTGAGAAAGATCAGGGAGAAGAAAATTTCTATGTTAGATTTCATGTCTGAACTTTGTGTGTACACACAGATAAGACAGAGAGCAAGCTGATTATATTCAATAAAGGAATTTTCTTCTTTTAAGTTTCTTTAGTGGAAAAATAGCAAGCTAATCAAATTTTAAGAGG